AATGCACACACTGTAAGCAGAGTGTAAGATTGGCCACAGCACTGGTTGGTTTTTCCTAAAAATCAATGACTTTTTCACTACTATCTTCTGCCAGCAGCAATGAAGATTTTAATAATTGAGTAGAAGAGGAATTTCAGCATCTGTTCTGTCAGGCTACAGAAACATTGCTCCTTTTAAAATCTATATTAGTCTCCAAGACTCAACAACAACAATAAATATTTTGGATTAAGTCCTGGTTTTATTATCCACTGATTAAAATCAATTTACAGTATCATTGCATGAATGTAACTACTAAGCAATTTTTGCAAAATGCTGTGATCAATATTTTATTCACTATGGTTTTCTTTTGCTCATATGAAAGGGAACTTTAGTTGCATACTCCAGAACCAAAAGTACCTGTAACTTTGTATATGGTGAGATTGCTTTCTAAGCTAAACTTTGCTTAGAAAGCTGAAAGCACAGTTGTCAGAGTACGTTCAATATTATTACTATGAGCCAGCCAGAGTTATAGGTTGGATTTGGCATTTTTATTCACCTATCCAGTCCTTCCCAAAGACTTTGATATTTGATAGTGTTAAAGGTATTGCTTTTAAAATGTGCTAAAACTTTATCCTGAAAAATAAGATTACTTCACAATTATTGGCTCATTTTCTTTCCCTGTCCCTGCCAAAAAATCATAAGTAGAGCAGGTAAGAATTTGGATAGGAGACCACTAGGTAATACCCAGGATTTAGCTACGCTGAGAAGTTTTTAAACAATACAGAAGACAAACTGTTTCTGCATTATTAAAAAAAACAACACCACAAGGTTATCTGTTTGAATCTCAAGGAACCTGTATATTAATTTTTAATTTTAATTATTTTTCCTTCACATGGGTGAGTCTCACATTCCACTTGCCCTTTATCTGCAGTCTTCCTCCTACTTTTTGTTTTCATGACTTGATTGCAAAAACTCAACCTGGCAGCCACAACTACAAATGATGCACAACCAAAAATGGGGCAGAGCATTGTATGATTTCAGCCATCATCTTAGCTTGACATGGCATGGATTTCCGTCACTTCAAATATCAGTACAGGATGCAGATACTTATGTGTTGAAAAGAACCTCTATGTAATGTCTGAAGGGGGTAGGAAGTTAATACCCACCTCTCTACTAGAAGATGAAATATTTTGGGAAATATTAAAAGGGCAGACTATTTCCCCTAAAAGGGAGGAAGAAACTCAGCTCCCCCCCCCCATCTTTGTCAATGAGCCATTAAGGACTGAGCCAGTCCACTTTACATAACAAAGGTAGGATTAACCCTCCACTGATCTCACCACATGAAACCTGGGAAGAAGCAATGCTCAACCAAACAATCAAAACACAGCCTACAGAGTTGCCCCTGCGTGGCCCCATGGGAGTCTGACAACCAACCAGAATACAAGCTCAAGTTCAAAGCCCAGAGAGGGGATAAAACCAGGGATTTTCAGCATCTCTGCCCTTTTTCTTCTTTACCCACCATCTAGAAGCATGTGATCCCCCTTTTCTGTTCAGGAGCTCAAGCCATGTGATCCTGTCCACCATTAAACCATCTTTCCAAGCAACCTCCATTTTTCCAGTGTCTCTTCCCCCACTTGGAACTGAACCCAGAAGGACATTTCTTCCGACAATACAATAAAGAACTATCCAAAACTCTAATTTTTGTGGGACACTGGCTCTTTTTTTTTCCTTTTGCCTCCCTTCTGTGTAAAAAAACCCCCAAAATATAAGGACTTGATGAGGCTCTTCCGCTCTTCAAAATAGGTTTGTATTTTTTTCCCAGTGGTATTTTTAAATGGTTGTATTATGTGTGAAAATTAGGCGGTGAAGTTGCTTTCATCATGAAGAGAAAGACTGCCGTATGTGCCCTCATTCCTGCCTCTTGTAACTGCTGTTGCCCTGGTCCCATAATGCACCTTGATTGCTCTCTCCTTTTTCAGAGGCTGCAACCATCACGGGGAATTGTCAACTCCATGGCCTGATCTGTTATAATTTATTAAAGTGTTTCATGCTACTTTTCAGCCCTGATAAGGTCCCCACAGCAATTTATGTAACACAGAAAAGCCAGAAAGCAAGCAAGGCAACATTATAACAACATTTGAATAAAATGAATTAAAACTTCAGTTTTATTTTTAAAGAAAAATTAAGAAACAGTGGAATAATATCTCTGCTGGCTTATATCCCTATTAATTACCTCCTTTTTTATTCTACCATGATTTTGCTGTGTAGCTACTAAGGTGTTTCTACTGTTTTCTTATGCTATTATCATTCTAGTTTCTGACTTTTATCTCTACATTTTAAATAAAAAGGTTCTAATAAGTTACATCATAATTGTATATACATATTTGTGCTGAAGTGTGCCCTATAGATTGTATTATCATAACATATTGAATCAAAAACTACCCAGTTACATTTTAGATTAGTATATTGCAAAAGCTCAGCCCAGCTTTAGTATAACACAGAAAATTGTGTTGATAAGATATTAGGAACAAAGCCATAACATTTCCCCTCAGATATCTTAGTTAAGACTTGCAAACTAACTAGATTTTGGCTGTGACCTGTTTCACACACATTGACTTGAACTGCAAACCAATTTATTTAGTTTTGTCTTCGGACAGATTAGATAACCAATGTCTCAGGAGTTTCCATTTTGTGTAAATGGGATTCTTCCCCAACCTTCTGACCCAGCAGAGTTTTCCATAATTTTAATAACTGTGATACTGAATCACAGTTTGAGGGGAAAAAAGAAGTAAATCCTCAAATTCCACTCAGAACATAAATCCAGCCACTTTGTGGCTCTCAACAAAAATATAAATGTTAAGCATGACTCTTGGCCATTAAAGGTCTATCACTGATTTAGCATGTTGCATCAATTTGTGGAATCTGTTTTCCCATTTTGAAACTTTCATCTGTATGTGACTATCGCATGTGTTACTGTTTTGAACTTCTCAAAAAGGCTAGATATACAGTATATGTTTTACATAAAATAGAATCAATAACAATAAAATACTCAGTGACCCACTGTTATCTCACGCAGTATGATAAACTAGTTGAATTCAAAAGTAGTCATAAGTTGATACTGTCTCTTTAAAATAAGATGGGTATAATTTAAAAAAAAATTCCTTTTCCTAGCCAGTATACATGCTACCTGCCACAATATCTATATCTAAGGTTGAACCAGCCATTCTCTCTCAGACTATCCCACCTCATAGAGTTGTTGTTATGGGGAAAAGAAGAGGAGGAAGATGTGTTCACTGGCTTGAGTTATTTGTAAAAATAATAAGTGGGATATAAATAAACTGTACTCAGCCTTATGCTTAAATTCAGTTAAAACCTAGACTAGAAAATACCTAGTTTAGTCTATTTTTTGACCTACTTCCCCCCTCCCCCCCCCCGTGTAATTTATTATGCATGGAAGTAGTAAAACTAAGAAGAACAAAAAACTTTGAGCGTTTTAAGCAGAGTTCAGACAAGGGCAAAGGGGCTGGATTTCTTTTCTATAGGGAAAACCTGCAAAGGAAATTCTGTTAGGAATAACAAGGCTTGACTGCTTTTCACACAGCATATAAAGAGTTAAAAGAATGTTTTGTCTGCCTTTTTAGCTGAGGAGATGACAGCATCCATGGAGCCCCCAGCAATCTGGAGCTTGTTAAAAATTATTGCTGAAAGACTTTGTAGCAGAACCTGTTGAAATGCTGTTTTTCTCATTTGCATTTGCCAATCTCTGATAGAATTTCATTTTCTGTTCCAATACATAAAGACAAATAAGCAATATAAGCATAAGCAAAAAGGAAATAAAAATTCTGCTCTTGTAGGGCTGTCTTCCAAACGGTCTTTAGAAATAAATTCAAGACTTCACCGAATTAAATTTAGGGATGAAGGACCCATGGTATTCCTGATGTTGCTAAATTATGGCATCAGTGTGGCCAATGGCAATTGGCAATTGTTCAACAACAGGATGGGCACATGTTCCATTCTACTTGACAATCTTTGTAGATTTAAAATATCTTAGACTCATGAAAGGGTTCATCCTGTTGTAATTAACCTCATTTACTCCTATGTATATTTATTTCCTGTGGTACTAAGCCTTAATATTCAATCAAACATGAAATGGGTTTAGAGTGGATCTGCAGAACTCAATTTAGAATTGTTTGGAATCTCCTACATTGAGGCTGCAGTTCTTAAACTTCTCCAGGGCCTAGAATCTAGGAAGCTACAGTCTCCATGTATCTGCTGAGTAGCATATAAGTCTATGGGCAGTTGCTAAACTAATACAGTGCAGAACAATCCTATCGAAAGCTTAGAAATTGTAACAGTTTTCTTTACTATGGGATGAAAATCCAACAAAGTAATGAATCGTGGTTAAACAAAGTCTGCCTTAGCACAGCTGTTATGTAAATCCAATCGCAGAGAATTTACAATCAACCAAGCACCAAATCTTCAAAGCTCTTGGCTTGCATTTCTCTCCATTGTACTGACTGCTCTTGTGTTCATTTCCACCGGGTGCCGAAGAAAAAACAGCGAATTAAGGGAGAAAAAAAGCACCTAGACTCAAACAGGTATGCATCGCACCTATCTGCGAGTCTCAATTCGCCCTTTGCAAATAAAACACATTTGCAAAGCTTTATTCCGAAGAATTGCATCAGCAGCCGTTTCCTGATTCCCAGGCATTTGGTGTTCCATTCCCTTTTGATGAGGAGAAGGGGGGGGGGGGAGATGCTGGCGACGGCATCCTTCGTCTTTCCCTACAGTTAAAGCCTTCAAAAGTGACTCCCTTTTTGTTGAAAGCCTTTTGTGGCTGTCTGAGCCTCCACTCCACGGCCGGGCATCTAACAAGGAGAGGCCCCACAGCAAAGTGGGGGGACCAGAGCACTAGCTATCAAGCAAGGCGAGAAGTCTTCCCCACCCTGGGAGCAAATCTCCAATGGAATGAATGGAATATAAATACCAGCCAATAAGCAGCCGGCTTAGGCTGTATATAAAAGGGATGGGAAGGTGGAGGGAAAGGCTTCATTTCAGGCAGGTCTTTCGGGCGGAACTTGCAAGAGGCGAAGAGCGCTTTCCTTTCGCGGTTCCTCTGAAAGTCTCGGTAAGTGCGCAGGGCAAGCGGTGCCGGGCACCCTTCGGATTAGAGCTTGAAGTTGGCGAGCTAGACGCCTGGCTCTGCGGCGTCTTCTTGCTTTTCGGAGTCAAAAGCCAGCAGGCATTTTTTTTTTTTACGGCACGAAAGACCAGGGTGATTTTTTTTCTCCCCCACCCCCTCTCTGTCTGCGAACGCGCGTTCTTTTAAAGCCAGCATCTCGCCCCGGCGAGAGGAAAGGAGACTCGGGTTCTAGTCTCAAGCCGCAACGTTTGTAGCTTCTTTCTGGACCGAGAGAGAGACAGAGACAGACGGAACCGCCACGTCCAAGGATGTGGAGGTGTCCCAAGGCGAGCGCGAGCTTGGAGAGAAGGCTTCGCTCTTGCAGGGGGTCCTGGGGTTTTACCCCCTTCAAAAATAGGACTCCTTTCGCTGGGGGCGCGATGCTCGGACGGCTCCCAGCATCAGAGTAACTGGGGTTTTTTTCCGCGCAAACGCTTAGCTACATTCATCTTAGTTTGTTACGTAATGCTGGCCCGTTTCATTTTCGAGTGGCTGCTTCTCCTTAGGCGACGTTGCCCAAAGAAAGCCCGTTTCTCGGCCGGGTACGGGTGGGAGGGATGGAGGCAAAGCCCGCCCGTTCTAAAGCAGGGCTTGTAGGGGAAGAGGGGTGGTCCCGTCTCGCGGCGGGGAGTGGGAGCTACAAAGGGAAGCCCGTTGCGGCAAGCCAGGCATCCCAACTCGCTGCTGCCTCCGGGCCATTTGCTCCCCAGATAGCCAGCCTTGCCGGTGCCGTCGCGCACTGCAGCTCGCCCGCTCAAGCGAGGCTGCTACTGCCAACGGGACCTTCGCGGCTCCCTTCCCGGATCGAGGCTTGAGCAAGCAAGGAAAGAGCGCGGGGTGGGGGGGGAGGTCGGTTGCGATGCATCGCAGCCAGCGCCCTGTTTGCGATCCACTTAAAAAGCCTCCCTCCCCCTTTCCCTCCGCCGCGGCCGCCACCTGCTCCTTCCGAAGCGCCTCTCCCGGAGAGCCGATGGAGAAGCCGTAGGTAGAGCAGAGCCCCGCGGCTCTTTCTTCCTACGGTTGTTTGTGCCAAAGCGCTGCGCATCCCTAACCGGCTTCTCTTCTCTTTTGCAACAGAGAAGGTGCCTGGGGCGCGGAAGGAGGCAGCCCCGATGAAGTGGGAGGCTAGAATGGAGAGCTGGCTGGCTGCCTCCTTCGGCTTGCTTTGCAGGGATCTCTCTCTGCTCTCCCGGCAGCCGGCGGATGGCTTCGCAAAGCCCGTAGCTGAAAAAACCCACCGGGAGGGAATTAGGTTTCTTTCTGCCTTTGCAGCAAAATGTCTGCTATCTCGAGGCGAAGGTGACCTCCTGGGAGGGAGGCGTTCTTAGCGAAGCCCTTAGGAGCTCCTGGGCAGGGAGGGAGGGAAGTTAGGTGGCTGGCTTCCTATTCCTGGTTGCTCGGCCCCAGTTAGAGCACCTTGACCTTGGGGCAAGCCTCTTAGTACTGGCCTAGCTTGCGTGCCAGTGGTGTGGGGAGGAGTTGAGTAATATTTGGCAACCCTCCACAATTGCAGGTGCTCTGCAGACAAAGTGTTGAATGGAGCAGGTCAGGAAGAGACTGCAAGGTGACCTTGCTCCCCACCTGCCATTTTCCCCCTGTACAATTGAAGCTAAGGGAAGACCTTGCAGGAGGCAAAATGATGTTTTCCCTCTCCTTTTTTCTTTTTGTCCCTTCCTTAGCTCCTTTCGGACAGGCCAGTTATGCCCTTCTCAAACAGCCACAATCTTTCCAAGATGAATTACTCTGCAGAAGATGAATATCCAGACCTGAGTCTCCATAACAATCACATGGCTTCCATTCTGACCTTGGAGTTATATACAAAGCTGAGGGGTAAACAGACTTCTAGTGGATTTACCGTGGATGATTGCATTCAGACCGGAGTGGACAACCCAGGTAAAGGAAAATGGCTGCTCATTTAATTTCTGCCTGTTCCTCATTTAACAAGGAAGTGCTGTGCTGCTTTAAAAAAAAAACACTGCTATCTGTGAGAATCTCCTTGCAACCTCAAGAGTATTACATTTTTTTAAAAAATTGCACAAAGTGATTGTGCAGAATCTTGATTGCAACCAGAATGACTTTATTTACTGACAAATACAAACCTATTGATTTCTTCTGCCAGTTTCCCTCCACCCTTGAATATTGTTGAATGAGAAACTCCCTTCCTCTCCCAGGAAGCCCTACTTCTAAATGAATATAATTTACAAGTGTAGTTTTTAAAATGAATCTGATTAAAAAAATCTAGCTTCTCTTTGGCAAATAAAGTAGGAGCAGATCTTAATAGTAGGGATATTACTGCATGTTTCCTGTTGCTCTCTAGCAGTATTGAACTGGCACCTTTAATAATTAAAAAAATTGCCTTCCAGTGAGAACATCCATAGTCAAGTTCCTCCAAGAGCCATGTAGCTGATGGTCTAATCCTGAATCTGAGATAGAAATTGTGAGATAGACAGTCCTTTTTCTTGTAAGACGTCATTTGGATAACAGGGTTGATAATCCTGCCAAAGCCCTGAGCTGGTGAACGTGGCCAATGCAGATACAGACTTTTTGCTCAGGCATGAAATCAGCTGTGGCTAGGAAAATGGAAAATGGCTGAAACAAGCCTGGTTTAGATGAAATGGTGGTTAATTGAGGTTAACTGTAGTGTATAATAGAGCTTTTAAAATTGCTTTTATGCCCTTTGTTCCTTGGAAACATTCGGAACTGTTAGATGTGATGAAGGTAACACTAGCATTAACAAGATGGTTGAATTAAGTGATAAGGTCTCTCATAGTCGTGATAGCTGCTATGGGCTACTTCTAGAAATAGGCTGCTGAATACATGTGAATGAAAACAATAGGGATAAATGGAGCCTCTGTGGTCAACAGTCTTACATTTTAGAGACTACTCTAGTCTTGACGTTCTGTTTGCAAGTTTTATGGAGTCACTTGGGAAGCCATTTGTTGTGGACCAGATAGGAAATTTGTGAATGTTATAAAATCCGGGACTGCATCTGTGACTGATGAATTATAATTTGATAATGATCTCTGATGAAAATGTGACCATCTTCAGAGATGCTTAGTCTCTATGTGATAATGAGAGTGAGATGGATAACATTTAAATTTGATGATTGCATTAATTTTAGTGATTTCTGAGCATTAGGCAACTTTCCTGTAGGCCTGAAATTGGTCCATTAAGGGATGGCATTGCCAGAAGAGAAGTATCTGGTTTATTATGAAATTGATTGGTGAGGTT